ACCATAAAATCCAACTACATTTTCCTTAATATTTCCAACTTTGTTGATGAAGATTCTCAGTCATCCAGGTGGAATTATTTGGAGGTTGAGTCATGGCAACTGGACTTCTTTTCTTTTGGTTTGATATGCTTCGCTGCTTGTCCAAGCAGTGAAACGTATCAAACCAAAAGAAAAGAAGTCCAGTTGCCATGACTCAACCTCCAAATAATTCCACCTGGATGACTGAGAATCTTCATCAACAAAGTTGGAAATATTAAGGAAAATGTAGTTGGATTTTATGGTTTAGGAAACCAAAATGAGGCAGGTGAATGACTTCTCAATTTCTGCCACTCCAATGATTTCTTCATAGCTAACACTGTCTTCAAATAACCAAAACAACACCTGTGTACACAGATATCACCAGACAGAGTGCACAGAAATCAAATTGGCTAAATTATTGCTAAAAGGAGGTGGGAAGAGCTCAAATACAGTGTCAAAAACATGGTTAGGAGCTGACTGTGAAATAAATCATGAACTGCTCATGGGCAAGTTCCAAGTTAAGCTAAAGAAGAAGAAAGCCAACCAATTTCTATGATACGATCTTGAACGTATGTAGTACCCCTCAATTTTCAAGGAGAACATCAGGAAATACTTTGAAGCCCTGAACCTCATTGATAGAGAATCAGAAGAGCTGTGGAGTTAACTTAAAGAGGTAATTAAGTATGCACTTGAAAAGAAACTGCCAAAAGTGAAGAAACAGAAGAAAGCAAACTGGATGTCAGAACAAATTTCCAAGAAGAGAAGAGAAGCCAAAGCCAAGAAAGACAAAAAAACTCAGGAAGGAACTTAACACGGAGTTTCAGAGAGCTGTTAGAAGATACAAAAAGCAGTATTACAACAACACTGTTCTCTTCCAGTGTGAATTTGTTCATATGAATACTTTACTTCCATTGACAGTTATTTGGCATGTTAGCCAATGGTGTATGAGTAACAATTCTAACACACACCCACACACACATCTGTAGGTATGCCTGTGGGTGTGGGTGTGGGTGTAGAGAATAGCTTTTGTGGAAATTCTTTATCTTATTTTTTTTTTCATCTTTTCTTTTCATTGTCCTTGTCCTATTATCTTGAGATAATGGTTAGAGTCACAAAAGAATGCCAAGACTCTGACTTCTCTATGAGAATGATATAAGTATTTGAGATCTATTAGTTAATGGGCCCAGACTGACCTTTTCAGTTCCAGCAAATGCACAGAAGTATACTTGAAACAACTTAAAATGGGATAAATACAATCACAACAATGGCAAGTAGTTCTTTTTACAATAGTAAGATTTCTGTTCTTGAGAAAAATGGGAAAAGATGGTAATAGACGAGGGCTGTGAAATTGAGCTGAATCTCTCTAAGTACAGTGGCCACAAGTGGATGTGAACTACAGTAAAACTAGCTTCACCTAAACTCTATTAACACTGATGGAAACCAATACTTCCCAGATATTTTTTTCTATTTTGAATCCTGCACTTTGTTGGCCTGCTATATTAAGTTCCAAAAACAATCCCTTTTGCTGAAGTGCCCTTATTCTGTCTGAAACTGTAGCTGTCTGAGTCAAGGAGTTAGCTGCCAATGTCTAGAAGTTAGGTTGGAGAGGTGGTATCCTGAGCAATTCTTTTTGGCACAAGGTTTTTTTTAAAAAAAAAAATTGCCCAAGCATTTTAAAGAATTGCACTTTCAGCTGGCTGAACAATTATTCCTCTCATTTTTACTGACTGTTTTCTCGATTGCTTTTTCTCCTAGGATTTTAATCATGCTAGATCCCACAAGTTCTGTGATTACTGTACAAGGATGTATTTCTGGACTGTACAGATGCACAAATCACATTAAATCTAGATTGTGTCAGTGGAATCCATTTATTGTGCCACTAATGTTATTTTACATTAACAACTTCTGGTAAATCCACATTTATCTATATGCAACTTTCTCACATAAACTGTAGACACACAGATGTAAGTATTTGTATGCAACTTTTGTATGCAACTTTTTCAAATGGTTGGATGCATCTTTACCAAAATGTATCTTTGTGTGAACAGAGAATAGCAGACACCAGTCAGGCATTAATGGCTGCCAGTCTGTGTGGTGCCCGAGCGGCTTTTGGTGGATTGTGCTAATAAGCTGTGATAGAAATCTGAGAAAGATTCCTTTTTAGGCTCAGTACAAACTTGTAATGAGTCTCCCTCCCACATAATGTCATGATTCCATAGTTTCTCACAACCACATGAATCATAAAATAAAAGTTTATATTTTCATTCAGAAATCATATACTATATCCTATGTATCTGAAATTATTTCATACCAATAAAGCAAACCTTTTCTACCAAGTCCCTCAAGAAAGCTCATTCTTTTTGTTAAGTGTGTTGAACACAGCATCCAGTGGGGGAGAAAAGTCACATTAAGCTTGCAACTCGTTTGCATTTGTTCAGTTTAAGTTGCTGTTTTAAACAATTCTAATGGATTGCTATGCTATTGAAAAAGAGAGATAATTTACCATTTTAGGGCATACATTGCACATTTGAAAAAAGATGACTCAGGTAGTATTGTGGTATTCTTGCTTTTTGTTAATCTGAATATGGTGGTTTGGGGGTTTTCAAGGTAGTTGATTGTGAGTGAATTCTGAGCGCATCTAGCAGCTTTTCTGCATTATTAGTTGTAACAGATGCAGTTGCTATAAATAAAAAATAGTTTGTCCATTTTTCATATCCTTTCCTAAGTATATTGAGAACAAAAAATTATGGCATATTTTGAAATACCAAAGGATGCTTGAACTCCTTTAGTTTCTTTGAATTCTTTTTGTTTAATCACCTTATAGAAATGTTGTTTATCCTTACTAGAATTTATCGAGATTAATTGACATGCAATCAAATCTGTGTCAACTCTTAGCAACCACGTAGACAGATTTTCATCATGATGATCTGTCCCTAATCCTTCCAATGGTACACCCATCACCACTGTAACTTAGTCCATCCACCTTGCTGCTAGTCATCCTCTTCTTTTCCTTCCACCTTTCCCAGCATTAGAGCCTTTGCCAGAGAGCTGGGTCTTCGTGCAATATGTCTGAAGCAGGATAATTTGAGCCTGGTCATTTGTACCTCAAATAAGAACTCTGGGTTGATTTGTTGGACGATCCATTTGTTTGTTTTCTTGACTGTCCATTGTATTCTCAGGAGTCTTCTCCAACACCAAAGTTCAAATGTGTTGGAGAATCACTTCTATAATCAATATGTGACTTCTTTTTGGTATTTTTTTGGCTTTCTCAATTATCCATTGTGCATCAGCAATAATGTCTTGTGTTCCTCAGCCTTTTATAAAGCCAGCTTGAACATCCGGCATCACTTTTTCCATGTAGGGCTCTCCTCTGCATTGAATGTTCCTAAGCATTATTTTGCTAGTGTGTGCAATTAAGGATATTGTATGATAGTTTGCACACACTGTCAAGTCTCCTTTCTTTAGTATTGGTATGTAGATTGGCCTCTTCCAATATGTTGGCTGCCATGTCATTCTCTAGATTTGCTGGCATAGCTTGGTTAGAACCTTTACTTCTTTCTATTGTGTTGCTTGCCATATTTCTGTGGATAGTCCATCAATTTCTGTAACCTTCCAACTTGGTTGTGGCCAGAGTGCTACTCTAACTTCATCTTCTAATACTAGAGGTTCTTGTAAATAGGGAATATCTTCTAATGTATTTCAGGTGTTGACATCTCCATTGGATAGAATTTCAGTATATTCCTTTGTTTGATCTTCTTTGAATCCATTACTATCTGTCCATTGGCATCCTTTATCATACCAGTTCAAGGATGGAACCTCCTTCTGAGTTCAGACATCTTTTGAAAGGCTTTCCTTGTGTTTCCATGTATGATTCCATCTTCAGTGTCTTTACAAATGTTGTTGTAATACTGCTTCTTGTTTCATCCAAAAGTTATCTAAAATAACTTGTTAGGTTCCTTCCTGAGCTTTTTGTCTTTCTTGGTTTGGGCTTCTTTTCTCTTCTTGGCAATTTCCAGAGTTTGTTCTGACACCCAGTTTGCTTTCTTCTGTCTCTTCATCTTTGGCAATCTCTTTCACATTCATCCTTAATTACTTCTTTAAGTTCATCCCACAGTTCCTCTGGTTCCCTATACATGAGGTTCAGGACTTCAAAGTGATTTCTGATGTTCTTCTTGAAAATGATGGATATATATGCAAGATCATATTGTGGAAACTGGTTGGCTTTTTTCTTCTGCTTTAGATTAACCTGCACATGAGCACTTCATGCTCTATTCAACAGTCAGCCCCTGGCCACATCTTTGCTCTTATAACTGAGCTCTTCCATTTCCTTGTAGCAATAATATAGTCAATTTGATTTCTGTGA